AATAAACGCTAGATGGCTCAAATCAGGTATTCTAACGAGGGTAGATGGAGTTTATATGATCTGTTGTGGAATAGGCAGCAAAAGCAGTAGCAGCATCAGCACACATATTACCTAGGAGTCAAGTCATGCGGACGCATCAATTAATTGCATATAGAATAAGCTTTGAGGCGAGCATAACTGTCAGACCAACAGCAGGCCCCGAAGATGTTTTCCTCGCCCCTTCTCGGACGGGTGTCAAAAGAGAGTCAAGAGGACCGGAGGCGGGATCGGGAGCAGGTGGTTAACACAGTGTTAACCCGCGCTAAGGGGAGTATGCTTTATTTTGAATGTATCAGCCCGAAAATTTCAGAGAATCTTCCTCCACACCCTTGGCCGATATACCAGTTAATAGATAGTGGGATAGCAAATGCTTTTGCATGAAACTTGCACAATCCTTATGCGGACAGTACTTTGAAGGACTGTCAGGAGGTTCGCTGTAAAAACAAGTTTTTGAAATTCCGCTCATTGTAGGGTGTACTCCAAACCACTAACGATATGGACCTATATGCCTTTCCAAAATTTGGCACTGCAAATCGTTCTCTTGAATTTGCATTTAAGAAAGGCTGTACTTGCGTCCGTTCTGCAGAACTTTATATATGATAGTCCTTTCTCGCCGACTATTTCTCCAAACCCAAGGTAAATGAGTGACGCTACCTGGTGTTCGTGACCTTAGGAGTAGTGTTTCTTCATGACGTGTAACCGAAGCTCCATGGATACCTCCCAGTACTCCCATCATACAACATTCTGCATGGGATCCCTCAGTTATCATTGGGTAGAAGTCTCCTTGTCACAAATATGGCCTCATTTCGTTCTTTATTTATGGCACGGATTGTAGATCGTACTCCCTTAAAAGCACCACCCACCGACCGTCGTTGTCGATGATGAGCTCCACAGCAAGGTAAAAAGCAATCAAGACCAATTACGCGTGAGTTAATTTAAAGTGGTAGTAGACTTGCGCAGAATATCAGCCAATCTCTTTCCCTCCCTCACTTGAGCCCGGTGTCTAGGTATAGTCAAGAAAACCGTAGGGGAAAGAGGAGACAGGTTGCTGACACGCCCGGGACCTGCACCGCGGAGTACCACCACACCCCTTGTTCCACAACAAACACTTGACCAGAGCTTTAACCAATGCCAAAATGGCTCAGAAAGAGGAAGGTGACACACGGGCACACGGGCACAGCCCTCAAAACTCACAAGGGCGAGACGCGGCCCTGCACTTAGCCTAGGCAATCATCATGCAAGGCTGGGTAACCATTCGGTCACAGACACAGAAGCACTTCTCATAAACACACACAAGCACACACCCCATGCGCGTGAGAGTGCCAGAGGCCACTTTAAGAAGGAACCGTTGCTGTCGCACTCTCAGCCCACCAGTCCGTCAGTCCGCACAAACACACAACTGGGAAGGATGCGCAGACTAATTTGAGGCGCCAGTTGACAACTTGCCAAGCCAAGGCGCTTGACGCGCCGTCATTCTCTCAGCCTCGAATCACGTATGCAGCAGAGGAGACATATGGAGAAGGTGCCGAGGAGCACATTTCCCACTTGCATGAGAGGTGCCAATTGCGTGTTTTTGTTGTGTGATGATTCATGATTTTGGTGTGTGTTGCAGGTGTCGGTGGGTAGAGGCGTGATGGTGTGGCGTAGCCGGCTGTTGTCAACGCAGGTGTCCACCGCGTATGAACTAGTAGGCCTAGGCGGCGGCTGAATGGCGAGGCCATGCGGGCAGTGGGAGCAAATGAGTTTGGTGTATGTTGGTGCTCCAGGAACTGGCGCGCCAGTCTCCGTGCGATGGATTAGCGGGTGACCGAGCAGGCCGGTGTGTGAGGTGAATGCGTGACCGTAATGAGAACAGATTTTAACCGAGTCCAAGTCGCTGGGGGTGAGGATGCTAATGGTGATGGTAACAGATGATGGGGCTGCGGACATCATCAAAGGCGGGAGTGGAGGTCGGCGAGGGGTTTTCTGCAGGGGCGAGAGTAGGAGGAGTTTACTTCGACGAGTTATTGAGGGATCGCGTCCGAATATGTCCTACAAGACCGATTCACGCGCGGAATATGTGTTGACAGCGCGGACATGTAGGAAACGACTGGCTGTTGGCATTCAGGAGTCAGGGCACATGTTATTTGCAAGCCTCCCCTTTGGTTTTGGCGGCGGCAGCCCGACTTGCTTCGTAGATAACTGTAACGGTTTGCACTTCTTTTCTGCATGTCGTCCTGTTGTAGGCGAGATTCGGCCAGGTCTTCGGGTTGATCTACAGTCGTTTCAGGGCGTTCTTTAAAATATCCTCTTTTTCAACAAGTAGTCCTGACGACATCACCCAGCGAAGTTGTAGTTGCCTTGACATAACGCGAATGCCTAGAATTCCAGTCCGTTCTGGGGCTTCCGTGTCGGGGATCCTGTCTTGTCATCTCAGCTTTAGTATTCTGCGAAAGCAGCTGAGATGGAAGTTATTGACCATGGAGTAGACGTTCCAGGACTCGATTCCTTGATAGACAGTAAACCCAGTCTACCCTGTCAGGATCCTTTTGTAATGACGAAATTTGCATAACTAGCCTGCTACCCACCGCCCAAATCTGTTGTAACTAGGACATCTTGTGTGAGGATGGCTTCAAGTGTTGTCTTTAGAAGACGGTGATCGAAGGCAAACTTCAAGCACCTCGCCTGCATACTGCTCCACTGAATACCGGCTGCATTGATCTCATTCAAGTGAACAATATCTGGTCGACTGTCGACCTCCTTTGCGTTCGCCAGCAGGCAGGTATCGGCGTCAGTATCCGTCCTCAGTAATTGGATGATAAATCACTGTCCAAATGGACTGCGACTTCCGCGCCGTTACAGCCAGCTAACTGACCACCGAGGCCTCAAAAATCTCAGTGGTCTTCTTTAAATGCATGACTGCAGTTTTAACCTGTTGGTAATTTTGGTCTCCCCTAATCAAGTGGCGTCCTAACAGCCCAATTTCGCAATCACTGACGATTTGCGGCATCACTGATAAAGAATTTCGCGATATTAATGGAGGTTCTTGGCAGACTTGCTTAATTCATCGGAGCCAGTTGCGCCGGTCAGGACAGCCACAACGAAAAGCATCCCATGGTTGCTGTCAGAAAGCAATATGATTGTTACGAGTGGCGGCATGTGGTGAGGAAAAGATTCATGCGTAGGCTAGTGTTGCGTGAGTGGACCGGTTGTGTAGGGCGGGATTATGGGTTCTAGAGTGCGCTTTATCAATAATTCATGTGGGCGTGTACGAAGTCGAATGAGCCCATGCGATGGCCGAATGGTCATTAATAGTCCAGGCATTTGAAGCGGGTGCGACGAGTGCATATTGGGATTGGCTGCACTGGTACGTGAGCCCTAGCGTGTTAGGTCCCCTTGAGTTCAACCAGGCCAGTGTGTGATTTAGCTGTGTGGTGACAGTTTAAAGAGAATATGAATGCGTTTTGTGCACTGTGTGGCGTTTCAACTAACCGGGAGGATGTCGGTGGCAGAATAGCTAGTAGGTATGTAAGGTATGTTTCTTGGTATGACGTTTTGGTGAATTTCGTTGTCATGCAAGCGCGTATGACCAATAGGGACCACACGATGTCGGAAGGTCTCGGGACAGTCCAAGCAGATGAGACCTGTATGACGGGTGTATACCACGCTTCTAAGCAGTAATTCACCGGTCTCAGTGTGGTAGGTTCTCAAATGAGTAAGTGCAATTTGAGTGGTGTTGCCAGCGGTGGCGTGTTGCGAGAAGAGATCAAGGATGCTCGTGTTGGCAGTCAACCGGATGCGTAGACTTCCAGCGAGACTTATCTGTTGACAGTGTGGACACAAAGGTCTGTAGCATTTGGGTCTTTGGGGACTCTCTCTTTGCCTAGGCAGCGGCTATTCGTTTGGCTCCAACGATGATCGCTCCCGACTTTTGACAGCACACAAATGTCTATCGATCCTGATTGAGGTTGCCTCATGTGTCCGAGTTGATTCACGCGTGCCCTAGTGAGGTCCTCAAGATTTCCTTGTAGCGATACCCGTGGATGTGACGCCGCAGAATAGTCGCCTATGAAGGCGCTCGTCACCAATCTTCACAATGTGACCGCTTCATCGAGTTTATATTTCGCTCGGATTGCCGACGTTACGGGAGAAGCAAGTTATTTCCAGTATCTTATTGGACATCTTCGAATCGACTGCAGCATCTGGACGACACCATCTGATATCTCCCCATCCAACTCTGCTTCGCAACCTACGTCGACAACTAACAACGACGACACTCCTGAACCCTTACTGTCAACCGCCGCCACCAATACAATCACCACCACCACCACCACCACCACCACCACCACCAACACCACCAATGAATTGATTTACGCGTGCCTGAGTGAGGCCTTCAAAATTTTCTTGTAGCGATACCCGTGGATGCGACGCCGTAGAATAGTCGCCTATGATGGCGCTCGTCACCAATCTTCACAATGTGACCGCTCCATCATACTTATACTTCGTTCAGATTGTCGGGGTTACTGAGGAAGCAAGTGATTTCCAGTATGTCAGTGATTGGCAACATCTTCTGGCGGTATTACATTGCAGGTTTCTCGAGCTCTTAAAACCCTGTTTACTACTTTGGCGTAGGAAGCACCTTGTTTTGAAATAATCTGTTGCTAGATCGCATATTATCCGATCATCAGAAATATCTGTATGGACGCGGGATGGTACTTTTTGGTTTTTAAATTGCTCTGCTGTACGGATTCTACCAATTCCGGACGTTATTCCTGGAGGAATTACAAGCCCAATTAGTCATTTTCTCTCCTTGAAATCACGTCGGAGACTTACTGCTCAAATAATTTAAGGAGGTGTTGCGATAAAGTTTGATTTTTAAGTTTGTCTTTATTTATGTACGAGGATTACAGTGTAGTCTTAGATATTTACGAAGTCTCTTACGGCCACGAGAAGCACGGGCAACTTAGGCGCATGTGACCTACATCTGCAGGGAGAAAAAGAGATTTGTCGACGAGCGTACTGGAACTTCAGCAAAAAGCTCGAAAAGACGAGAGACTAGCATTGGGCATGCGCCATGTGAGGATTATGTAGATCTCGCCATGCAAGTTAGAAGCTAAGGCGGAAGACACGATCTCCTAGCAGAAATAGTAGCGAGGCTGATTATGCTCAACATGGTTAAGTTCCCTGATGTTTATACACAAAGCTTAGAAACTGCTGGACAATAAGAAGACGCACGTGCTAAAGAAAGTAAGACCATATCCAATTGCGAGATGAGAAGAAACGGAGAACAAAGTCGTTAGAACAAAGTCCAGAATTTTCAGGGATAAGGTCTAAAGTCTGGTGGAGTAACGTTGATGCAACAAATTCGTCTACTTCTGTGCAGTCGACAAGACCAGGGCCTGCTGAGACCGCTTGCGCATGAACCAGCAGGCAGCGACTGGCAGAGGCCTAAGACAAGACTAACGTATGCCTAAACTTGTGCCGCATGAAATAGGCATCGGCGCTCCGTTTGAGGGACAACTAAGGCGGAATATAAAAATGGAAGACGTTCAGTGAAACGTACACTGGTTTTTGCAGCGTTCGAAAGAGCGAAATAGAAGAAAATACTAATAGAAACAAAGAAACGAGTCCCCCTGAATCAGTCGTGAGGAAGGAGACACGGTCGCTTCGCCTGACGTTTTAGATCCCTGATCGAACCCATCGCCAGAGACGATGGCTGGTAGAAAATACTATCTGCACGAAGAGAACAAAATCATTCACGGATTTGGCAACCACACGCCCTGTAGCCAGTTCATCAGGAGCTAGTTAAAATTAGAACTGAAATCTAATGCTAGATTAATTGGAAACCGGGGTGCGACCGAAGCAAGCGTTCCGTCCGCTCGCAAGCAGAGAATAGTAACATAAGGATTACCAGAGTCACGGTGAACATTTCTCCGAGAGAAAGCGAAGCATGATGTAGTTCTTCATTAAGAATATGCTAGAACTTTTCTAAGGGACACTGTCTCAGTCAGCATTCAAAAACCATATTGCATAGGAAATACTCAGCCAGCGTCTGGTGCAAACTGGGATCACGGCCGTCAAAGTCGTCGTAGAAACCGAAGCACAAACACAGATCGTGATTCAAATAAGACCACATCTGTGGGTTACGCATGTCGTCTCCATTTCAAGTGGATTTTCAATCAAAAATGAAATGAGACAAGTGATAAGGGAATTGAAAACGCCAAGGCCTAGAGGCCACAAAGAATTTAGAATGAGAGGCTGACCGCATAGTTGCGGTCAAACGAAGATTGCTTTGGCTGAAGGCAGTCATGCTGACAGCCAAGATAGCAAAAAACTACTGAACTGGGAGGCTGCAACAGCAATAATGGTCGCTGTTTAGAAGTCTACTTCGCTAGATGCCAGGGTGCGTTCGACGAGGTGCATAAGTTAAATTGGTGGACTTTTGGCAGACATCTCACGTAATTGCATGTATAGATGCCTGGTTAGCTGTTGAAAAATATAATGAAGATCGGTATTGGCGACTAGCAAATACTACGTCGTGATGGATTTCAAGGCAGAGGCGAAGGCAGAGGCATTACGATACGCAACAAAATTTCCTGCTGTTGGCGAGAAATATCCAGACCCATGAAATTACATCATACTGGATTAAAATCAAACGGTCGTGGTTTCTAAGCCTATGCGTTTTATATCGGCCTTCGGGTAAGATGTGGTTTGGTGGCCCTATATGATGGACACAATACTGTTGAGGTTAGGGTTAAGTGCTTGGGTCAGGCGTTAGGGTTAGGGATTATGGCTAGGGTTTACGGTAAGGGTTACATTTCGAGCGTTAGGGTTAAAGGTTAGGGTTAGGTGTTGGGGTTTAGGATTAGGGGTTATAGTTTGGGGCTAAGGTTAGGGTTTAGCTCAACTATTTTTCAACCAAAAAAGGTGCAATCACGCACTCCCAATAGCTATTATTTTGCATATAACTACTTGACCTTGTCGCCTGTGTGTTTCCCGGCTGCAGCTGTAAAAAAAGCCATCACCACCGGCTCCTTATTAGAGGTGAATGAGGTTTTTTTATATCAGGTGGGACTACCAGTCCATATCCGAACGGCCTTCTTGCTCAAGTGAAAGCGCTGATGTAGAATTGCTAAGTTCGCATAAATTGAGATGAAAGCTAGAAAAGTTATTACGCTGCGGAGAATTTTAACGCTCCTTAGATAGGCCGGAATATCGCCTTAGTAAACACTGCAAAAGCATTATTGGACTGCAAATAAGTGCGGTTTTCTCTGGTCAAATACCGCATCCAGCACGTGGATTTTGAAGACGGAATGATAGAAGAAAAACGATTTAACGATTTGAATCTTGTTTTCTATAAAGAAGAAGTTGTAGAGAAATGACCTCACAACTACCAACTTAATTAATTGGCCATATTGTGTTCACTTGCGTGTGTTCCGTCCTGCCTTTTCCAAAACGGTAAATCAACAGTCCGTGGAATCTCTGAAAGCGCCACTTAGACTCAATGGGACGCGCTCCATTCATGGTCTGCCGTTAGGACAGGTCGAATCATGTAAAAATCACGTTAACAAGCCATTACATTGTAATTGTGACTCTTGACGAGTTTACAATCAAACAGTGACACTCCGTCCAAACACATAATGCAAGATTATATTTAGATGGAGGGAACTTACGTGACCTACCTCCATGACGAACGCTCGCTAAAAGAATAAAAACTGCTGAGGTTCAAAACGTAGACTTATTAGTTCCTTCCAAAAATTAATTAGCACTTTCTGTATTCTGGGCAATTCTTATGTGCCAATTTTTTAAAAAAGACGTAGTTTGTTAGTCAATATCGGAGATCGCGCAGCTGAGAATTGAACGCCGAGTTAGTTGAGCGCCGGACAATCCAAGCGTTTCAGCCTTTGTCGTCAAAATTTGCCAAAAATAGCTTAATTTATATAAGCGTCTTGGATGCGAGTGTAGATCACGAGAAGGGAATTATTCACAACTAAAACCAACACATTGGGCCGGGCAGGTGGGTGGGGATATTCAACTACAGGCCAGGAATCAACCATATTTTAATGGACACATTTCCTCAAGATCTGAGTCGAAGTTTCTCGTTTTTTGACGCATGCCATGGGTTGCTGTGGCCAGTGCGTTATGCTCTCCGTGGAGGATTTTTTTGATCAATGTCTTACCATATGATTTAAGGCTTGAGATTTTCAGACGCTCAGTGCCCATATTAATTAATGTTGGCCAGGCGATTCACCTGATATCGAAGCGTAGAATGCAATGTAGCGAATCGTCAAGTGACTTACGCACTCAAGACTTTCTCCATGTTCAAGAACACCACGGAGGTGTTCGAGGAGTTTCAACCGGATTTCTTTCTTCTATAGAAAAAGAAAAATACTGTTCGCCTTGTTTCATATACTTTGATATCTACTAAAATAAACTATTACATTTCACAAAATGAAGTTATGCTAAAAAGATGGCGAAGAGACCGAACTTCAGAGTCACCTCGCCTTTGCCTGAATTTACAGGCTCCATCAGCAGCCCGCCATCGTGGTCATCAAAAAGCATTTGGGATGCCTTACTTTTCTGCTTATCAAAAAATAATAGAAAGAAAATGTCCACCAGGACTAATGTAATTTCTGGTGCTTCAAACATATTTCCGAGTTCACAGAACAGCTTTACACAGAATTTGACATCGCAATTGCCCACTGAGCAGACATCACTTTAACACCAGCCTTGCGGAGTAAGGACCAAATGAAGACAGACATGCAGTTTGTCTATCTTTTTCGCGGATTCCCGTACAAATACACAGGCTGGGTCTCAATTGGACGCAATTTACTCAAAGGCGACCTGGTCAGTGGGATGACTGATGCTTCTAGACCATCCGGGAAACTGCTGGGGAACTCTGACTCACAGCAACAAGCCAGGAGCGGCAACAAAACAAGTTTCGAGCGGTTTGGGGGATGTACTGCAGAATACCGTTAAATCGAACGCTATATCCCTCTGCATTTCGCCCATCAAATATCATTGTGATACTAAGGAATATAGCGGCAGCCTTTTGGACTGAAATCACATCCAGCGCACCCGTTCTGAAACCTCACCAAGTATGCTCATTTTGAGGGTTTTTTCCATTATGTCTGTAAACTTTTGCTGCATTTAAAATCGACAAGAGTCTAAAGAACTGCCTTAGTGTTGGACAATGACGAAGTCCAACTCGTGATTTTATCAATATCCTAGTAACGTTTGCAATCACATTTGGGAACAATTATCCCTTCAACGGGTCTTCTTAAGCTATCCAGCGATACTGCTTTCTACTTGGGGTTTTCGAACTCACGTTCATTGTTCAGAGTAGGAATCAACTGTCGCCCAACTCGAGAAATCCGCTGTAGAGGTTAATTAGCAATCTCAGGTGCCGGAAAAGCTGGCCGTCCAGTTCGCTTCTTCGGATGTAGACAAATAGCAGATTTTCCATTCGCTGAAGGTTCAATAACACAGGAAGTTCAGACGCCACGTCGTCAATTGTAAGTTAGTCTTCTACAAATTCTGATTTAACAAATGGGACTTCATAATGAGGCAACTCGGTGAGGGGACTTCGTCTAAAAATAGTCATCCGGGTTTCTGTAATCCGAGTGGCGAGGAGAAAAGGGGAAGTGGGAGTGATGACGCATACGTAGATTTATCAGTTATTTCTGACTTATTTACCTAGACCCCAAGAAACGCGTGAACTTCTCTTCCCAAAAATGTCAATGGTTGGGAGCGGTAATAAGGACCCCCGTACTACGGGCAGACGTGCGCTAAAATCCGCACGTGTTTCCATCCGCGTGCCCCAAATTTAAACCCTGATCTAATACCAACATTTACTCTATTTGGCCCAACTCCATCGCTTACCCTAACCCCCTGGAAAAAGGCGTCATGTCACCTGTAAAACGAAATGGACTTATTCCCGTGCCGCACGGGGTCGGTTTTCCCCACCCTGTGCCGTACACGACGGTCGGCAGCCGACCTTTTGGCGTGACTGAAGAATTCTCCGATTATGCTGCATAGTAGTTAATAGTGCAACCCCACCAAAGCAATCCTTTTTAACTGGTATCACATTTCAGAAAGTCAGAAGTCATGCCACCTAGTATGTCTTTTTATTTTGTAGACGTGCTCAAATGTATGTAAGTCTTCTACAAATTCTGATCTAAGAAAAAATGAAACTGCATCAGGAGACAACTCGGTGTGGATACTTAGTCGGTCGATAGTCAGTCCGTACCTGCAATCCGTGTGGGACAGAAAAACAAGGAAAGCGGAAGGAATGACGCGTCGGCGATTAGACGCGGCCTTGCGCTAAATTTCAGAAGAGTACCTATTCTCTCACCCCACATTCAAACTTGAGCCCCAACCCAACAATATTCCTAATACTACCACTAACCCTACTAAACCGACCTCCATCACTCACCCAGTCACTTTGAAATTTAACACACGGCCAGCCGTAATATGGGTCGGTTTTTCCGACTCTACTGCCATCCTATGTTTCAAGAGGGTGCGATCTGTGGGATTTTTTACAGCTTGTGGACTACCTGACGTGTTGCCCTGGTGTGTGGGGATGGAACTTTTAATAAGACAGCCAGACGTGGCACCAGGAGGAAATTCGGCTAGATCGCAGTTGGTAGCCAGGAAGGGGGACGCGAACGGCGGTCCTAAACCTAATCCTAACCTTAACCTTAAGCCTTATCTCAAGCTTAAACGTTAGCCGTTAACCCAAACGGCAACTGTAACCCTAACCGAAATCATAAACGTAGCCGTAGCACTTAGACATATGCGTAACTGAAAAACCTAACCAGAATACTGAAACCTAATCGCACGTTCAAGCCCTAACCGTAAGCCGAAAACCTAAGCCTAAAGGCATAACCCTAACCCGACAATCGGAAACCATTAACCGGTACCCTAATCCTAACCTTAACCGTAAAACGGAAGCCAAATGGGTCAGATTGAATTATGGAACCCCACTAAATAGCCCCATTAAACAAACCCACCAGCCACCTGTAATACGGGGCTTGGCTACCAACTGCGATCTAGCCGGAAATTCCTCCGGTAGTATCTTCTCAAGTTTTATAAGTAAAAGTTGGACAGGACCATTCCGCGACTTTGCTTGTTGTATTTATTTTGTAAACGTTATAAAGGAATGGGATTAACGTTACATCTTACTGGTTCATTACGCATGACATCCTATCGCGTAGTGCTCGGACTTCCATTCTTGACTGAATCGGAATTCATCACCGCAACACAGAGGGCAGAAAAAAACAAATAAAATTCTGATACAAAGTCTCAACAGAGCGAGAAGGACTGGTTAGTGGACCGGCAAGTAAACTCGACCGTTTTGCTATTTCGCCCTTAATGATTCATTAAACTGTTAGCCTTAAGAACTCCGTCGCATAACTGCCTCGGGTAGCTAAAATTATCTGGAGATTATAAATGGGCACCCTGATCTAACACCAACATTAACTCTACTAGGCCCAACGCCATCCCTTAACCTAACCCCCTGGAACAAGCCGCAGGGTCATTTGTAATACGAGAGTGACTTATTCCCGTGCTCCACGGGGCGGTTTTCCCCACCCTGTGCCGCAAATGGCGGTCGGCAGCCGACATTGGTCAGAATATGTTGGAAAAGGAGTCGTTCGTGGTCAAAATGAGTGATTACGCTGGTTGAAAATTTAAATATCTCCATACAGTGCGGCATGAGGTATGTATTCACTCACCCGGTTTAGTCTTGTCTCACCCGTCCGTCTTCTGTTCATAACCAGCATCTGGGTTATTCTGTAGAGGGAATTCTGTTTGATGAGGTAGGCTACGAAGAGGGCGTTGAAGAAGAGGATGCAAAACCAGAGAATCCAGGCCATCAACAGGGGCAGAAGAGGCACTGGTTGTAGAACAATATCATCGTCCATTAGGATGGTATCGGAGTCTGCAAGGGATGATGATGAAAGATGGACATAGCGTTGGCGGAAACCATTTACCTAGTAAAGACGTGCCTTCAATCTGTACAGCAGGTATACTAACTCATGAAATATTAACCGAAATTCCGATTTGCGTTGTGGTTTCCAATAGAAAGCTTAAGAAGTGTTTTAAAACTAATCATTCTGCTATATAACTCTATAATACTTAGCTCGATATTTCGGCATTCAAACGAACCTATTCCCGACCGTATGCAAATACCTAACTCATAAAAATGACTACCTAAATAGCATGAGAATTTTCCATTGATTTTCGAGCCCGTTAGATTCGCAATTACATTTCGTTGACAACCTGCATAAAAATATTCATTCTTTTACGTACTTGAGAGAAAATTACGTCTTCTTACTACTTAATACTCGAAGCATGGAATACTTCGGCTTTCGAAGAGCTTCTACTTATGAGATTTATCAATACCGCGAAATGTCCGCTCACAAAACATTATATCTCTGCATTCGCTAGTGTGGCTTGTAACGTTTACAATATTGCTCATATCCACTGCTAAATTTTATGAACCCAAAATAGTCTCCCCTCATTACCGTAGGGAAGTGTCAACTGAGGCTCCCGGTCTTCCCTTACGAACCTAAGCCGTCTATCTTTCTGCACCGTTATTAGAAACTGGATTTCTTGCAATTCCTCCATTATCAGTGTATTGCATTCATCCGCTAGTCCATGCTGCGCCGTGTAGAATCTCACTGTCTCTATACCCCACCCCCGGACAGCTCGAACCACAAATGCAATCATAAACACCCTCAACGTTGACGCTCTGACTTCTGACCCCCTGCAGCACGAATGACCACTTATTCTACCGTCTACAGTCCCAGTGAATTACCACCCCCCTGACCCGCCGACACAGGGAGCCGCAACAATTGGTCCCCACCCCAAATGCTAGCGCAGTCATGTGCCCACCCCTCTCACACATTGGTTGCCCATCTGTCAGCGTCCGTATTGTCGCGCCAACCAGTTTTGTCTGACCATTTACTCTCTCCTCTAAGGAGGGTTGGTGTCGCCAACTCTAAAGTTCACGAATAGAACTAGATCTTCCCAGACGAGCGTTCACCCTTCACCATATCATTTCAGACTGGAATCCCATCCGATCGCCAGGAGCACCGGCCGCTTCTGAGTGCTAGTTTGCAGGTGTCGTTGCACAAAATTCCAGGGAAGTGAAAGTTGAGGAGCAGAATGGACGCTGGTAGTGCAGTATCCTCGTCCTCAGGGATGGGATCGTAGTGTGGAAGGCATGTTACCAAAAGTCAGTAGACCAGAGCCGACAGTAACTTTTATCCGATAGAAAACTACTTCCAGCCTTTGGCTTTTTTGCATAAGATATCCTAGGTGCAGCGTTCCAGAGGGCATTTCTAAAACACCTGAAGTGTATGTATGGTACATATTGAGTTCTACTAAGATACATTAAAGAAACTGCTCACATTTGCTGATGATCAGGTTGATTAACTACCTTGTTCAACACTTATGGTTTAGTGCTTTTTTCATAATGCCATCAACTCTGAGAATTGTGGCTTGAATTGCACTGCAACATAGCCATTCCGTATTAAAACCAGACAACATCGTTGCCATAGTTGATTTTAGACGTAAAGGACTACTTTAAAGTGAGACAAGGTCTTGCGTTATCTACCCTCGTTTGCCTTAGTTAACATGCAAGCGTGTAAGCAGCAGTCAGTGATGCCGGCCACTGGCATTTACTAAGGAGGTTAATTTCTAAAACATGAGACGACTCAGGTATACCGTACTCTTCATCACCGTAGGCTGTGCACTCAATCTTCTGCAGTCCGACTGGAATCGAACTGCAAAATTCCGTCGTCGAGCTCAGCAGCAAGGCAGTGCTTTCCATATGCATATGGCTTCAAATTCCTGACTTTATATCGGTACTGCCACTCTAGCACTCAGAAGCAGCCGGTGCTCCTGGCGATCGGATGGGATTCCAGTCTGAAATGATATGGTGATGGGTGAAAGCTCGTCTGGAAAGATCTAGTTGTATTGGTGAATTTTCTAGTTGGTGACTCCAACCCTCCTCAGAGGAGAAAGTAAATGGTTAGACTAAACTGGTTGGCGCGACAATACGGACGCTGACAGATGGGCAACCAATGTGTGAGAGGGGTGGGCACATGACTGCGCAAGCATTTGGGGTGGGGACGAATTGTTGCGGCTCCCTGTGTCGGCGGGCCAGGGGGTGGTAATTAACTGGGACTGTAGACTGTAGAATAAGTGGTCATTCGTGCTGCAGGGGGTCAGAAGTCAGAGCGTCAGCGTTGAGGGTGTTAATGATTGCATTTGTGGTTCGAGGTGTCTGGGGGAGGGATATAGAGACAGTGCGATTCTACACGGCGCAGCATGGACTAGCGGATGAATGCAATACACTGATGATGGAGGAACTGCAAGAAATCCAATTTCCAATAACGACGAATAACGATAGAAGGCTTAGGTTCGTAAGGGAAGACCGGGAGCCTCAGTTGACACTTCTCTACGGTAATAAGGGGAGACTATATTGGGTTCATAAAATTTAGCAGTGGATATGAGCCGTATTTTAATCGCTACAAGCCACACTAGCGAATGCAGAGACATAATGTTTTATGAGCGGACATTTCACGGTATCGATAAATATCACATTTAGAAACTGTTCGAAAACCGAATCATCCCATGCTTCGAGTATTAAATTGTAAGAAAACGTAATTTTCTCTCAAGTAAGTAAAAGAATGAATATTTTTATGCAGGTTGTCAACGAAATGTAATTGCGAATCTAACGGGCTCGAAAATCAATGGAAAATTCTCATGCTATTTAGGTAGTCATTTTTATGAGTTAGGTGTTTGCATACGGCCGGGAATAGGTTCGTTTGAATGCCGAAATATCGAGCAAATTATTATAGAGTTATATAGAAGAATGATTAGTTTTAAAACACTTCTTAAGCGTTCTATTGGAAACCACAACGCAAATCGGAATTTCGGTTAATATTTCATGAGTTAGTATACCTGCTGTATAGATTGAAGGCACGCCTTTACTAGATAAATGGTTTCCGTCAACCCGATGTCCATCTTTCATCATCATCCCTTGCAGACCACGATACCATCCAAATGGACGATGATATTGTACTACCACCAGTGCCTCTGCTGCCCCTGTTGATGGCCTGGATACTCTGGTTTTGCATCCTTCTCTTCAACGCCCTCTTCGTAGCCTACCCCGTTAAACAGAAATCACTCTGCAGAATAACCCAGATGCAGGTGATGAACAGAAAACGGACAGGTGGGACAAGACTAAACCGGGTGAGTGAATACATATCTCATGTCGCACTGAACGGAGATTTTTACATTTTCAACCAGCGTAATCACTCATTTTGGCCGCGAACGACTCCTTTTCCAACATATTCTGGCCAATGTCGGCTGCCGACCGCCGTTTCCGGCACAAGGTGGGGAAAACCGACCCCGTGGAGCACGGGAATAAGTCACTCTCGTATTACAAATGACCCTGCGGCTTGTTCCAGGGGGTTAGGTTAAGGGATGGCGTTGGGCCTAGTAGAGTTAATGTTGGTGTTAGATCAGGGTGCCCATTTATAATCTCCAGATAATTTTAGCTACCCGAGGCAGTTATAAGACGGAGTTCTTAAGGCTAACAGTTTACTGAATCATCAAGGGCGAAATAGCAAAATGGTCGAGTTTACTTCCCGGTCCACTAACCAGTCCTTCTCGCTCTGTTAAGACTTTGTCTCAGAATTTTATCTGTTTTTTCTGCTCTCCGTGTTGCGTTGATGAATTTCGATTCAGTCTAAAATGGAAATCTAAGCACTACGCGATAGGATGTCATGCGTAATGAACCAGTAAGATGTAACTTTAATCACATTCCTTTATAGCTTTTGCAAAATAAATACAACAAGCAAAGTCACAGAATGGTCCGGTCCTACCTTTATTTATGAAACTTGAGAAGATACTACAGGAGGAATTTCCGGCTAGATCGCAGTTGGTAGCCAAGCCCCGTATTAGAGGTGGCTGGTGGGTTTGTTTAATGGGGCTATTTAGTGGGGTTCCATAATTCAATCTGACCCATTTGGCTTCCGTTTTACGGTTAAGGTTAGGATTAGGGTACCGGTTAATGGTTTCCGATTGAAGGGTTAGGGTCGTACTAATTGAGGCGCCCTATGTTAACTTTTGTGTCAATGACCAACAGTGTCCATTTGTAATGCCCAGGATAATTTTAGCTACCCGAAGCAGCTACGTAACGGAGTTCTTAAGGCCAACAGTTTCATGAATTATCCAGGGCAAAATGGCAAAATAGTCTAGTTAACTTACCGGTCCACTGATCAGCCCCTCTCGCTCTGTTGAGACTTTGAGACTTTCATCTGTGTTTTCTGCCTTCCATGCTGAGTTGATGAATTTCGATTAAGTCGTTTGTGAAAATAATAATAATTTTTATGGAAGACCTGTCGCGGTCCCATCAAATCTAAGCACTCGCGATAGGATGTCATGGGTAATGAACCAGTGAGAAGTAGATTTAATCCCATTTTTCAGAGTTTACCAAATTATGCAAAAAGATAAGTCACTGAATGGTCTTGTCAAACTTTTATCTATGAATCTTGACAAGATACTACCGGAGAAATTGCGTCCTGGTGCCATATCTGGCTGTCTTATCAAGCGTTCCATGCCCACGCATCAAACCAAAGCTTCAGATGGTCCACAACTTGTAAACAATTCGACAGATTGCACACCCTTCGGACATAGGATGGCATTGGAGTCGGAAAAACCGACCCATATTACGGGCAGCCTTGTGCTTAATCCCAAAGCACCAGGGCAAGTGATGGCGGTCGGCTCAGGTTTGGAGAATGGGACTCAAGTTTGAATTTGAGGTGCGGGAATAGGTACTCTTCTGAAATTTACTGCAAGGCCCCCCGTCCTCATCCCAGTGTCTACTCGTCGGCGCATCATCCCTTCCGCTCTCCTTTTTTTCTCGGCCCTACACGAGTTGCAGGGATCGACTGGCTATCGACCAACTAAGTATCCACACCGAGTTGACTCTTTATGCAATTTTTATTATTTCTTAAATCAGAATTTGCAGAAGACTAACATACATTTGACAACCTCTGCAAACTAAAAAAGATATACTGGGTTACAGGACATATGACATTCTGAAATGTGATACCAGTTAAAAAGGATTGCTTTTTTGGGATTGCACTATTAACTACTATGCAGCGTAATCTCAGCATGCTTCAGTCACGTCAAAATATCAGCTGCTAACCGTCGTTTACGCCGCAGGTCGGTATAAGGGTCAGAAATACCGACCCTGTGCAGCACTGGAATAAGTCCATCTCGTATTACAGGTGACCTTTCATTAATCCCAAGGGGTTAGGTTAAGGGCATAGTCGAGTTAACGTTGGAGTTAGATTAGGGCTTAAATTAAGGGCACGCGAATGGGAAATGGTGGGATGTCAACACATGTCCGCCCGTAGTACGAGGTTCTTATATCCGCTTCCAACCCTTGACTCTTTTGGGAAGACAATTTCATGAATTTGTTGGGGTCTAGGTAAATAAGCCAGAAATAACTGATAAATCTACATATGCGTCATCACTCCCACTTCCGCTTTTCTCCTCGCCACTCGGATTACAGAAACCCGGCTGACTATTTTTAGACGAAGTCCCCTCACCGAGTTGCCTCATTATGTAGTCCCATTTGTTTAATCAGAATTTGTAGAAGACTAACTTACAATTGACAACGTGAAGTCTGAACTTCCTGTGTTATTGAACCTTCAGCGAATGGAAAATCTGCCATTTGTCTACATCCAAAGAAGCGAATTGGACGGCCATCTCTTCCGGCGCCTGAGATTGCTAATTGACGTCTACAGCGGACTTCTCGAGTTGGGTGACAGTTGGTTCCTACTCTGGACAATGAACGCGAGTTCGAAAACCTCAAGTAGAAATCAGTATCGCTGGATAACTTAAGAAGACCCGTTGAAGGGACAATCGTTCCCAACTGTGATTACAAACGTTACTAGGATTTTGATAAAATCACGAGTTGGAGTTCGTCATTGTCTAACACTCAGGCAGATCTTTAGACTCTTGTCGATTTGAAATGCAGCAAATGTTTACAGACATAATAGAGAAAAACCCTCAAAGTGAGCATAATTGGTGAGGTTTCAGAACGGGTGCACTGGATAGGATTTCGGTCCAAGAGGCTGCCGCTATATTCCTTAGTATCACAATGATATTTGATGGACGAAATGTAGAGGAATATAGCGTTCGATTTAACGGTATTCTGCAGTACATCCCCCAAACCGCTCGAAACTTGTTTTGTTGCCGCTCCTGGCTTGTTGCTGTGAGTCAGAGTTCCCCAGCAGTTTCCCGGATGGTCTAGAAGCATCAGTCATCCCACTGACCAGCCTGTGCATTTGTACGGGAATTCGCGAAAAGAGCCTGATAGACAAACTGCATGCCTGTCTTCATTTGGTCCTTGCTCCGCAAGGCTGGTGTTAAAGTGATGTCTGGTCAGTGGGCAATTGCGATGCCAAATTCTGTGTGAAGCTGATCTGTGAACTCGGAAATATGTTTGAAGCACCAGAAATTACATTAGTCCTGGTGGACATTTTCTTTCTATTATTTTCTGATAAGCAGAAAAGTAAGGCATCACAAATGCTTTTTGATGACCACGATGGCGGGCTGCTGATGGAGCCTGTAAATTCAGGCAAAGGCGAGGTGACTCTGAAGTTCCATCTCTTCGCCATATTTTTAGCATAACTTCATTTTGTTAAATGTAATAGTTTATTTTAGTAGATATCAAAGTATATGAAACAAGGCGAACAGTATTTTCCTTTTTCTATAGAAGAAAAAAATCCGGTTGAAACTCCTCGAACACCTCCTTCTTAGCCTCAGACGCAGTCCCATTTGTTTAATCAGAATTTGAGGAAGACCAACTTACATTTGGCAACATGACGTCTGATCTTCCTGTGTTATTGAACCTTCAGCGAATGGAAAATCTGCCATTTGTCTACATCCAAAGATGCGAACTGGACGGCCAACTCTTCCGGCGCTCGAGATTTCTCATTGATCTCTAAAGCGGATTTCTCGAGTTGGGTGAAAGCTAGTTTCTACTCTTGACAATGAACGTGAGTTCGAAAACCTCAAGTAGAAAGCAGTATCGCTGGATAGTTTACAAAGACCCGTTGATTGGACTATCGCTCCTTACTGCGACTGCAAATGTTTCTAAAATATTGGTAAAATCACGAGTAGGAGTTCGTCATTGTCCATCACTTGGGCAGTTCTTTAGACTCTTGACGATATTAAATGCAGCACAATGTTATAGACATAATGGACAAAAACTCATCAAAACGAGCATAATTGGTGAGGCTTGAGGACGGGCGCGCTGGATGTGATTTCGGTCCTTAGTATCATAATGATATTTGATGGGCGACAGACACAGCGATATGACGTTTGATTTGACGATATTCTGCAGTACATCACCCGAAAAGCCCGGAACTTGTTTTTTTTGTCACCTCTGGCGTGTTGCCGCAAGTCGGAGTTCCTCACCAGTTTCCCGGATGGTTTAAAAACATCAGTCAGCCCACTGGCCAGGTAGCCTTTGACCGCGCTATTCGTAAGTACGGGAATCCATGAAAAACGGTCTGCAAAACCAACTGCATGCCTGTCTTCATTTGGTCCTTGCTCCGCAAGGCTGGTGTTAAAGTGATGTCTGGTCAGTGGGCAATTGCGATGCCGAATTCTGTGTGAAGCTGTTCTGTGAACTCGGAAATATGTTTGAAGCACGAGAAATTACATCAGTTCTGGTGGACATTTTCTTTCTATTATTTCTTGATACGCAGAAAAGTAAGGCATCCCAAATGCTTTTTGATGACCACAATGGCGGGCTGTTGATGGAGCCTGTAAATTCAAGCAAACGCGAGGTGACCCTGAAGGTCGACCTCTCCGCCATCTTTTTTAAAGCTTCATATTGTAAAATCTAATGCTTTATTTTAGAAGATGTCAAAGTACATGAAACGAGACCAAGATTATCTTCCTTTTCGATGGAAGAAAGAAATCCGTTTGAAACTACTGAAACACCTCCGTGATTTTCTTGAACATGGAGAGAGACTTGAGCGACGTAACTCACTTAACTATTCGCTACATTGCATTCTACGCTTGGATATCAGGTGAATTGCCTGAACAATGAGCGCCTGATAATCTTAATCCTTGAATAATACGGTAAGGCAATGATTTAAAAAATCCTCCACAGAGGGCATAAGGCACTGTCCGCAACAACTCATGGCATGCGTCTATAAACGAGAAGTGTCGATCTAGATCTTAAGGAAATGTGTGCATTAAAATATCGTTGATTCCCGGCCTGTAGTTGAAAAGCCCCACCAACTCCCCCGGCCCAATCGGCTGGTTTTTAATGTGAATAATTCCTTTCTCGTGATCTGCGCTTGCATCCAAGACGTTTATATGAATTAAGCTATTTTTGGCAAAATTTTGACGAAAAAGGCGGGACTGCCTGGCGCTCAACTAACTCGGGGTTCAATTTGCGGGTACACAATCTCTCATAATGCATAACAAAGTACGTCTTTTTTAAAAAAGATGCGCACCAGAATCGCCCGGAATTTATTGACCGTTCATTAATTTTCGGAAGGAACTAATAAGTCTACGTTTTGAATCTCAGTAGTTTTTCCTCTTTTAGCGAGCGTTCGCGTTGGAGGAAGGTCACGTAAGTTCCTTCCGTTTAAATATAATCATGTATGATGCGTTTGGATGGAGTGCCATTGTTTGATTGTAAACCCGTTAAAAGTCGCAATTACAAATTAATGGCCTGCTGAAGTGATGTTAACATGATTTGATTTGTCCTAACTGTAGGGCGAGAATGAGAATTTTCACATTACCTTGAAGCTAAAGGTCCATGGGCCACGGAGGTGGCTGCAGATGGTTACTACTCACGAGTGTAGATGTATTCACAGAAAAAGGGAGAGAAACCCCAAATGCTATTCCTGTCTTATCTGCCCTTACCGATTTCAACACCGCGGCGCAGGTCTGCAATCAGGATAGATCAATGTCCATATGATAAACGTTTGCGAGTTCGAGTGGCGGAACTGCTGATCGACATCAACTGACTGGAGTCTGAACCTTGAGAGTGTACTTTTGAGTTGTGTTATCACTGTCTCCAATGACAAATAAGCCGAAAAAGGTCATTTTAGTGTTCCTTTTGTCAACTATGAGAAGTAATACACCTAACCTTCCCACGCATTCTAGGAGTAAGTAAAGCAGCATTCGTATCGCACGTAAATGTCTGTTTGTAATGGATTAATTAAATTTCGGTGACAGTGATTCCGATAGTAATACCTCTACTTAATACTAATAGTCAAATCTTAGCATCATTTGTTCTTTTTTCCAGGCTACGTTCTCTCCACATATTTGAAGACAGACAATATCTACTCTCCAACTAGGCAGCACAAAAAGCTTGTTCCGATCAATGTTGCATCTCGAGCCTCAGTGAAGAAGTAGATACGGTGGAGACTCTCAAGTACTGTGGTAACAGTATCAGTCTGTTCTTTTCACTGAACGGTTCTCAGCCTGTCATGGCGTTCTTAATGTAGCAATAAACACTCGATGGTTCATTTGAATTATTTTTACTGCCGTGCGTGACCGGGGTTTTATTATCTACGGTAAGATTGACAGAAAAAATAAAAAAATGTCATAAACGATAGAACTATTAGTAATAGTAGTAGTAGTAGTAGTAGTAGTAGTAGTAGTAGTAGTAGTAGTAGTAGTAGTAGTAGTAATATCTATAGGTCCAATCATGTGATGTATTGAATTATTTTATATCAATCACACTCAGGCCTTGTGTCGGGAATAATTGGCAGCTCGAAAGTCGTTTCCGGCGATATCTTCTGAACCTCTCCTGAGCTCGAGCTCAGGACGGAGTCAAAAAGACCGGGAGCGGGTGGCCAACACGGCGTGAATCCGAGCATATGCGTACCACGACGCAACCTGGCCTGTATTAAAACTATACAAATATTACGACGACAGTTTGATTCTCAGTTTGTGTATTCCGGTCTCTTTACATGCATTATAACGTGCCGAATATGGCAGTACGTAAGCGCAATAAGCTGAAGTCCACTAAGCGATATGCCCGAAGACTCGACGCAAGGAGCGGAGAGACTTTATAGCAATTAGTTAAAGATGAAGTGGGTGGCTAACAGTATCCAGAATTCGATCAGTGCATTCCTTCATAGTTGTGATGAGTCAATTCAGTTCATTTTTATTGAGGAAATGTAGGTCTTCGCCTTTAAACCCCCGACTTGTTTACAGGCAACTGAAAAATCTCAAAAACTGGAAAAGTTATCATAAAGGCAACAAATAATCGGAAAAATAATCGGAAACTCTGTACAGACAGACGGACTGTCTAGATTGTTAGTGGCACGAGCAGTAGTACAGCGGTCGTTTTGAGTGCAGGGAAATAAATAATACACCCAGTGACAAAAGTTGCATAGATGCATGTCAGTACGCGTTGGCGATGGGCTGGTGACAATAAGAAATTCAATTTAAACGTTGCTGAAATATAGCAGTAGTATTGTAACAACGGGATATGTCAGGGTTGCAGAGGTCGGTGGTAAGTTAGTGGTCGTTGTAATACAAATTCAGTTTCTTCTTAAAGACCTCGACGGAAGCAGACACTAAGACAACCGGAGGCAGGGCGTTCCAATCTTTACGCACACAGTTCGAAAAGAAGAACTTCCGTGTTTCCAGTCTGGCCCCGGTCACACGTAGTTTGAATGGATGACCTCGTAGGTTTGCGGTGGTTGCTAACTCGCAGAAGTCCCCGGTACGAGGCTGCAGTCCTGACCGCGTAGGGTTTGTATCAGGTCACCTCTTAACTGCCTGTAACTCAAGGGAAAGAGATTAAGGGTAGTTAACCGTTTTGCATACGATAGTAAACCACGTCATGCCACCCGTTTATTTGCACGCCACTAAACCCTTTTGATGATGCTGAGGTCCTTCGCGGTCCAGGGTCTTCGAACTTGGATTGCGAAATCCAATCGTGGCTGCACAAACGTTCGAAGACTGAAGCGAAGTAATCTTCACCAAGGGCAGAAAAAGCCAGCTTGACAAGGGGGAGAACTGAAATTGCCGACTTGGCTATCTGCGTACAGTGCAGCGAGGTTTTGAGCGAAGACGTAGTGCATATTCCCAAGTCCTTCTGCGAGTTCGGTTCTTGCAGTGGTGATGTAGTAAGATAATGTTCTCACTGATGTGAGGCGCATAGTCGGTAACGTTGGCTGGCGGTTGATGCTTAACCACCGTCTTCTCCGTGTTGACGATGAAGTTGAAGTTGTTGAAGGCAGCGGCGAAGAAGAGATCGTGGACGGTATTTGTGGATAAGCGCGACTGGAAGTTCATCCGTCTCTAATTGAGGATTTGGCTATCCATCTTGTAGGCGGAACTCTCTTTGGCAAAACCGTTTCCTCGAAGATCGCTTTAGTCCGGATTTTTCATAAAATTCTAGTTGCGGCTGAGGATATTTCCAAAACGGCATTGCCAATCCCTTTTGGCTTATTTGAATTTTTCGTATGCTATTTGGTCTCCGATATGCCTCACAGACTTTCCAACGTTTCATTGACCGTGTGTTATGCTTATGCCGTTGATGTCTCGGTCGCCGGTTTGGATGCCGATGAACATCTTCAACACTCCCCAACAACGTCTGCCACAGTCTTTTATGCCTTTGGCTTTAACTTTCAATAAATTATCCAAAGCTGAAACCCGCGACAGAACATGCGGACGTTAAGTTCCTGCCGTTTATCTTGCCGTTAGGCACATCCAGCATTGGCTGGAAAGTCGAGAGTTCACAATTTTCACAAATCATAAGCCACTCACCTTTACTCTACATTCCCTTTCTGACAAACCAAACCCCTGGGAGATCCGTCACCTGGACTACATTTTGCAGTTTACTTCAGACATCCGCCATATCGACAGGTCACTGAATGAGGCAGTTGACGCACTGTCCAGGCCATCTACCGCTCACTTCCAGCTTTCACCCGAAGCAGCCTCTCCGAAATGGCCTCTAAACAACGTTGCGTTGGTTCACACGGTAGTGAGGATGTTTCCGGACTCCAAATTTAAGGGCTACCAATGACAAAAAGCAACGGTAATATTCTATGCGACGTATGCAACCCAGCTCATCTTCTGCTTGTGCTACCACCCCGTCGCCGCAAAATTTTCTCCCCCCCTCCCCTGTACAATCTGTATAGCCCTGGGAGCCGAGCTGCCGACAAGCTGGTTTCTGACCGCTTTCTCTGGCCTGGGATGTACGTTGACCTCAAAGCATGGACACGAGCAAGGTCCAGTGGCAGAACAAGTGCCCCATCAGCACCTTTTCCGGCCCTGGTGCAAGGCTCAGCCACGTTCACCTGGGCATTGTAGGCCCCCTGCCTCTGTTCAAGAGTTATTCCTATCTGCTCACCTGTGTGGATCGGCTTACCCGGTGACTTGAGACTATCCCCCGGTCTGACTAAGCTGCTCCAACTGTGTAAAGGCTTTCCTCAGTCTTTGGGTTACCATCTTTTGTTCACCCTCCATTATCACCACTGACCGCGGTACTCACCCGGAATCGAACGTCTTCCAGTCTGATAAGAAGAAAAAGTGATTGCCGGAACACGAGATTTATTCGTCTGACGTTTCGGATTCTCGCTGGAACACATCATCAGAGTCAGCGGCAGAAGCGGGTTTACTCTCTTCATTCCTATTTAGGCGGTACCCGCACCCCGACTTTAGCCTTTCACCCGGCTGCCAACTGAATGATAAGGCGCTTTCACCGCCACTTAAGAACCTCCTCACGCGCCGAGGATGATCCGGAGAATCGGACAGATCGTCTTCCCTTGATCATCTTGGACGCCCATTTCGCTCTCAAGCCGGACCTTGACTGTGCCTTAGCCGATTTGGTCTTCAGTGGCACAGTCCGGCTTTCGTTTAGAGTCTTGCGAAATTATCGTGGCGCGGTCGAGGATCCCAACAACCTCCTGCACCGCCTCCAATAGTTTGTGCGGACACTTTCTCCGGTTCCGCCCAGGTCCTCTGTCTGTCCTTCTAATCTCAAGAAGGACTTGGCAACGTGCTCACACGTCTTTCTTCAATGTGACTGGGCTCGTTGGCCTCTAGAACAGCCTTATGGCGACCCATTTGGGGTCCCCTCTAGGGAGACAAGGACCTTCTGCATGCAACGCACCAATTGTTTGGGATGTCGTAAGTGTGAACCGCCACAAAGCACCTAACCCATTTGTTCCGTCAGACGAGCCCCGTGTTCCCCTACCCTCTGCTTCCCGACCTCCTTCGTCCTCTTTTCCGCTATCCCGTGTTGTCTCTTTCCCCAACCTTACCCGTTACCTCCCACTGCCACCTCTAACTCCAAAATGTCCGCCAGAGAACTTATCTAATCTTCTACGGTTTCTGTATATATCCATCGCAGTGGTCGTCACGTTCACTTTCCTGATCTTTTGGTCACCTACTTCGGCGTCATTTCCACTGCCCTCCGGTCTCGGAGGGGGTACTGTGCCGAGGCGCCAGACTATCTTGCATTTATCTACCTATTCACCCTTTGTGAACTTGCTGTTTGTTTATCTGAATGGGAGGAACTTGGCTCAGCGCGACGCGCGTGGCATGCGTTGGACTATCAGGTGGTTTGACATTTAATCATAAATTTTTTCATTACTCCTGTCTTCTCCTGCTATCCATAGTCTGGGACCGGTGATCGTGTCCGTCGCGTTTGCAACAGGTCCTGTTGCGGGAACAGCGCTGGCTTTCTGGGTTAAGTTCTTGTTCGAGATGGCCATTGGGACGGTTGAGGAGGATGCGAGCGAAGATCTTGGTGGCGATGCTGGGCAGCGAAACTCCTTTCTGGTTAGTACGGGCTTGCCGGCACCCTTCCCGTTTGTCGATATGAACGATTTTTGCATCCTTTAAGTCCCGAGGAACTTGTCCTCTGGCCAAATCTCCTAAAATAGCGTTGCAAGCTGATCAGTGGGCTGGGGTCTACCACCCTTGTAGACTTCGAACGGAATCGCATCAAATCCCGCTGGACATTTTGTGTACGGCGCAGATTACTTCTAAGAGAGGAAGTGGCGGCTCTAGGTCGTCATTCGTTTCAACGGTCAGTAGAGACGTCGGAGACTACAGAGGGTGGTTCAGTAGGCTCCTAAAGTTTCCTGTCCAACTCTTTAGAATCGGTGATTCCTCCTTCAGAAGCGTTGTCCCATCGGACTTGAGAATTGACGCGGCTCTTTTATTCGCGAGGCTGTTGATTGTCTTGTGTGATTAGAGATTTTTGAGCTCATTGAGGTCGGCATTTAACTGGATCACCCCAGCCTTGCGGTTCATCCAAGCGCCTTGCATCTCTCTCAGTCGGTTCTGCACTACGCGACGACAGCGGCAGAAGGCGGCTTATTTGCAGCAGCCAGATAATTCGCGTACGCTTTTTACAGCCTATGCTTTTCGGCAAACAGAAGGCTGATGTCGACGTCGTTGTCATTGGGCCAGGCCTGATGTTGGCGACATGCGCAACCCAGGACGTTCCAAGCAGCCCAGTTGATAGCAGTCCGCAGTTGACTCAACCGAGTCTCTACGCTGACTTTGTCGTCCGGGTTCGGCAGTTCCTCCAAGCGTTGGGCTAAGTGATTGCTGAAATGCAAACGGGAGTGGACAAGTTCAGTATGACTGTATTTACATTACCGCATGCTTTTGGCTGCTGTGGCTTTGGAAGCAGAGCATCATATTGGAGATGAGGACGCGGTGTTCCGTCCGACCATGGGCGTCGCAGATCGTCTTGGTTACCACCATGTCCTGTCGATCTCGGTTCTGGACAACAATGTAGTCCAGCAGCTGCCAGCGCCTCTATCGGGGATGCTACCAGGTAGATTTATTCCGCATTGACAGGTGGAAGAATATGTTAATCAGCAGAAGGTGGTTTCTGCGCAAGTTTTATAGCAGAGGGAGACCATTTTTGTTGCAGCCGGCGATTTTTTGCGGACCCAGCATTCCCCACCCGGCAGCAGAATCTGTTTCGACGCGGGCACTAAAGCCACCAAGGACAACCAGCATGCCCGCCTTCAGTACAGTCGCTTTGAGGGCGTCCAGATCTTCGTAGAACTTAGTCCTCTCCTGGTCCTAGATACTGACGATGGTGGCGAATATTCCTCCCCGGAGAGGCAAGCAGAGGCATCCTTTTCGCAGTGAACGCTCTCCAAACATTTCTGAAGTATAAACCTAGATCTGGGAGACTTGTCTGACTTAAGTTGACTGACAATTCGTCTTCATTCATCGACGAAAAAGGCAACAGATCCAGTGATGACTGTAGCTTGACCCATTTCGCTCCGGATTGTTTTCGGGGGATTAGAAGAACTGGGACAGTTGTAATGTCTGAAAGCGTCGAGACAAAACGTTTCCGACGAAATCCTTGAGACTTGCAAACTCGGCTCTGTGATACCTCTTGCTTCAGAGAAAGATAAAAAAAACCTTGAAATATGCGATGGCTTCTTCTGTCAGCCGAGGATTGAAGGAAGCTCCAGCAGTTCATACCTGAGTATGGCATGTTTTCCGCTGCTCCTCATAGTCAACAGCCCTTGTATCTCCTTGATGCTCCTCATGTTGTCTTATTCATCTCTGCAGCTCAAGAACATGTTCCTATTGTTGCTTTAGGACAATGGACGTCAACTAGATGCTCCATAATTCGTTGAAGGTACGACTGGACATATTCGACATCGTTCGTATCAATTAATTAATTGTCCTCCAATGGAGTGCGCCTCATTGAGTCTAAGTGGCGCTTTCAGATCTTTCACGGACTGATGATTTACCGTTGTGGAAAAGGCAGGACGGAACACACGCAAGTGAACACAATATGTCTAATTAATTAAGTTGGTAGTTGTGAGGTCATTTCTCTACAACTTCTACTTTATAGAAAACAAGATTCAAAAAGTTAAATCGTTTTTCTTCTATCATTCCGTTTTCAAAATCCACGTGCTGGATGAGGTATTTGACCAGAGAAAACCGCACTTATTTGCAGTCCAATGATGCTTTTGCATTGTTTACTAAGGCGATATTCCGACCTATCTTAGGAGCGTTAAAATCCTCCGCAGCGTAATAACTTTTCTAGCTTTCATCTCAATTTATGCGAGCTTAGAAATTCTACATCAGCGCTTTCACCTGAGCAAGAAAGCCGTTCGGATATGGACTGGTAGTCCCACCTGATATAAAAAAACCTCATTCACCTCTAATACGAAGCCGGTGGCGATGGCTTTTTTTACAGCTGGAGCCGGGAAACACACAGGCGACAAGGTGAAGTATGCAAAATAACAGCTATTGGGAGTGCGTGATTGTACCTTTAATGGTTGAAAAATACTTGAGCTAAACCC